TCTCTCTCTCTCTCTCTCTCTCTCTCTCTCTCTCTCTCTCTCTCTCTTCTGTGTGTGTTGTGGAATCAAGATCAAGGATGCTAAGCTCAATCAGATCCACTTGGTTTGTAATTTCATTTACTTTTTCACACTATATAAATAATAACAATAATAATAATTTTCTTGTTTTAATCGGCCTCTAATGAAGCATCTCCATGTCAAGAGCTGTGGTTACTCCAAGCTTTCAGTTTAGCAGTTTCTCTTCCCAGACTCCAAGGTTTGTTCCTCAATATTACATGACTATTGTTTTCGATTCTAATAGAAGAGATAAAATGATGGTTTTTATTGATTCTGTTGTATATATATACAATATGCTAGTATTATATAACAGATTAAAACCGAATTTTTTTTATACAAATTGGATCCAGTTGTGCTACCAAACATTGAAGATTTATATAAACATGTAACTAATACATTAAGTATGAATATAATAGTTAACACCATACTATTGAAATAACAATATAATTTTGTTTTTATTATAATTAAAACAATTATAATCTTTTCACCGCCGTCCGCCGGCGTTCTAAATTTGTCGTATATATATTCACCATAACAGATTACAAGGTAAAGTTGCACTGATCACCGGAGCAGCAAGCGGCATCGGCAAAGAAACCGCAACCAAATTCATCAACCATGGCGCCAAGGTAGTGATCGCCGACATCCACCACAACCTCGGCCACAACACCGCCACAGAACTCGGTCCCAACGCCTCATTCATCTCCTGCAACGTCACCAACGAGTCCGACGTCGCTAATGCAGTCGATTTCACTGTTTCCAAATACGGTCAACTTGACATCATGTACAACAACGCCGGAATACCATGCCGGACTCCACCTACCATACTCGACCTCGACCTCGAGACGTTTGACCAGGTCATGTCGGTCAACGTCCGCGGCGTTCTTGCCGGAATCAAGCATGCGTCACGGGTAATGATTCCCCGTGAAACTGGATCGATTCTGTGCACTGCTAGTGTGACCGGAGTATTAGGAGGATTGTCCCAACATACGTATTCCATATCGAAATTTACTGTTGTCGGAATTGTGAAATCTTTGGCGTCGGAGCTCTCACAGCATGGTGTTCGGATTAACTGTATATCGCCTTTTGCGATTCCGACGACATTAGTGAGAGATGAACTGGCACGATATTTTCCGGATCTGGAAGAAGAAGAAATCACGAGTATGGTGCAGAACGCCGGGGAATTCAAGGGAAGTTACTGTGAGCCCGGAGATGTGGCGGATGCTGCTGTTTATCTTGCTTCCGATGAGGCTAAATATGTCAACGGCCACAACCTGGTGGTCGATGGTGGTTTTACATCCGTCAAAAACTTCAAATTTACTGTCCCACATAAACAGGAATGAGTACAACAATAATATGTCAACGAGATAAACTTGTAACTTCTTAACATTTTCCATTGAACTCTCCACAAAGTTCACTCGTATACATTTCAATGATATAAGACTCATGCATTACAAACATGTCTATAATACAATTCCCTCATGGCTATATTCTGTACGACAATGTAAGACTCCTTAGTATCATACCCATGCATGTCTACTATTATTATTCACTATTAGTCGTATGCTTTTTTAATGAGCTAAACTCATTAGTAAGACTATCCCACTTCCTTACTAAGAGCATCCATAATGGGGTTTAATAAGAGTTAATTAGATGATGATTAGAATTGAATAGAAGTTTAATAGAGTGTGAGCATGGAGAAGAGTTGAATGTGAGAGTTGTATGATCATTGAATGGTTCAATGGATTTAATATTTTATTTTCCAATTAAATTTCAAACAAAATATAAAAATCCATTAAACTTTGTAGAGTTTGATGGAGTGTGGATGTTAAAAAGTATAGTTAAATAAAAAATGAAATGTTGATGTGCCAGTGATGTGACAATCCATTGAACTCCATAAAATTCAACGGATTATGGATGTCCTAACTTTTTATTTTTTAGTCAAGGAATATTGTAATTGACCTTATATAGATCTTTTCCCATTTTATATATGCATGTGTAAGAATCAGAAAGATGAACTAAAGTGACTGAGAGAAAATAAATTTTTCTCATTAACTCATTCACACATGGGGTCCATACATATTTATACAAGAGAAAGAAATCAAAACACTTACAACTAACTTCTCAACAAAATATAAGCTAAATTACATAAAAAGCCCTTCTATACATAATGACAATTAGGAGCGTATTCATATGGATTGGATTGGATTGGTCTTGGCCCACCCATACAAATATAAAGTCTTATATATAATATATAATTTTATTAAGTATAAGAAAGTAGGCTTCATATGCCACCTTATATACAGTTGTTGCAGGAAAATTATTTTTATATTTGAGTTTAACGTCATGCTCCTTTATCTTGAGTCTATACTTATTATTTTTATTATTTTTATATTCATATTTGGGTAGTATTACTGTGCTCCTCTATCTATCTTGAGCCTATATTTACTTATTTAGGTAAGACTGAAATGCTTTGAATCTTATTTACGAAAATGGCCTTTTGAGTTTTCTTTTTTATTCATAAACCCATCAAAGTTATAAAAACAGTCCATAAACTTTTCTCCCCTGTACATAAACCACACAACACTTATTTCTCTTAAATTTGGAAACTTATATGTTTAACCCTTAAAGTTTCCTCAACTTTTTGTTTTCAAAAATATAGAAATGATTCCTGCCTCTAAATGGTGTCGGAAATATATGATTAATAAACCTTATAATTTTGTCACGATAAACTTTTATTGTCTCAATTATATCTTTAAAACTT